ATAAATACATATTTTATGTTGGAAATATATGCATATTTTGAATATAACCTTAATTTTCATAAATTGTGCTTTAAATTGTTCTAGAACGAAATGCAAGAGGCAGATCCCGCGGCGGACTTGATAAACCTGATAGAGATAAACCTGCACCCAGACTTCTTCCTAGACCAGGAGAGAGAGCTTTAGCATTGGCACAAGCAACAGGTAAAAAAATACTAAGTAGTAATACATTTATTTAATAAAAAATGACTTTCTTTAACATAGAGCATATTAAAATGCACAATATGCATCTTATTACATATTTATTGAAAATAAACTTTCAATTTCTAGGTAACACAGAAAAATTGGCAGCATTGGATAGAGCACATGCTAGAGAATTGAGAGGTGTTAGTCGTGATCGCCACAGAGACAGGTTAATATATTTAAATTCATCAAGTAATTTTCTTGTAATCTGTAATTATTACCTCTTATTATAGAGAAGATAGCTCTCGTGATCTAAGTTCTAGTGGCAATAACAATGGAAGTGCTGCATATCATCACCATCATCATCAGACGCGTAGGGGTACACCACTATCACCAAGATCACCTCCCCCTATAGTTGTTAGGGACCGAGATAGAGAGCGCGATAGAGATCGTGATAGAGATAGGGTTAGTTATGATGGGGCTATGGGAATACCCTATGATGATGATGGCTTAGAAGGTGATCCACAAGCAGTTGCTGGCAGAAGACATGGTGAGTTAGATTGATGCTAGGGAAAAGACTTCTCAAAATAACTGCAGCTTAGGGTTAACATAATAAAGTTAAAGTAGTCGTCATTACATAGTAAATTCTTATATTTCATTTATAATTTTTTATTATAGGGTACAACAGTCCATTTGAGAGAGACAGAAGACGTGAGGATTGTGATAGATATGTTGATAGATATGATGAAAGGCGCATCGAAACTACAGGTGATTTATACATTGCAATCTTTTTGTAATGTTTTGTTAAATACTTGTTTTTTTTTTAATTGTGATTGAATTTATTTATTTCAGATGAAAGATCTATACATCATTGGGATCGCGAAAGATCGCGAGATAATAGATCTAGGTCAGGAGGACGTGGCATGTCTCAGACCATGTCTCCAAGACATATGGCTGGTATGGGAGACTGGAGAGAGGTAATGATAAATAGTTTGATTAAAAGTCTTACTGTATTCATAGTAATATTCTACAAAAATTGGTCGTTGTTTAGCGTTCGCCGATGATTATGGAGGGCTCTCGATGGACTCCACCACATGGTCACTATGAAGCAGATAGAGATAGAGATTCATTGCATGATCATAGAATGTGGCCAGGTAAGTTAATATGTTTTATAATCTTTAGAAATAAATCAATAAGAATTGAGATTCAACTATTTAGGTAAAATGTTCAATTGTTTATTTGGAAAATAAAATTTTCTCTTTTGCTAAAAGCTGTCTTTTAAACATACCTATAATATCTGTAATTGTATAAATAAAATTAATTTGTTTAACACATTTTATTTTATCCACATCTGGTTCTAAAAATGAATGTTATTTGAGTGTAAATGTCAACTATAATCAGTAGTACATACGAAACACGGAACGTGCATATGCTTCGGCATAGATATTAATTAGAATCACTTAAGCTCACGGCGAAATTGATTTTTATAATATTTTAGACTACGAAATCTCTCTTTATACGAAAATACTCTAATATTTTTGTTATAATATTTTTATAAAAACTCTTTATACAAATACTTTATACAAACTCTTTATACAAAAATACTCTAATATTTTTTTTTTTTTAATATTTTAGACTACGAAATCTCTCTTTATACAAAAGTTTCATCAAAACCAAGAAAAATAGTATTAACATTTAATTACCAAGAAGCGGCCCGACCGATCTCTACCAAAAACTTACCAGCCATTATCCCAACCATTATCTTTCAAACATTTTCTGAATTTGTAAAATCGATTCAAGATTGTGAGCTAAAACGCGGACGAAAAACTTACATTTTTCTGTTGATACAAAGAAACGGCTTGGCCGATCGTCGCACAAAACTGATAAAAGCTAATACTTATCGAAATACATCGAATGACTTTTAAATTTATGAAATGGTCCAGCCGTTTTTGAGAAAACGTCGACAAAAGGTCAAAAATCGTTTCACATACACAGCATATATAACATATTTTTTCCAAATTTGGTCACATTTGATTCAGAATGACTTGGAACATCATAACATAACATAAAATTAGCAAATATGATTTTTTTATGAAGAATATAATTGATATTTATAGAAAACTATGAACTCAGATTCATGTGATGATAGTTATAAAATAATATCAAGAACAACTATACTACTATGTCATATGTGAAGATTGATACAAAGTTTTTTTTAGTTGTATATACTATACACTTAAATGAGGTTAATAGTAGATATTATATTTTTATTAGATCGAGATATAAGAGAACAACATCACAGACAATCACTACCAGAAAGAGATCACGAAAGGGAGAGAGATCCTCTATGTGACCGGGAAAGAGATCGTGGCTTACCGAGAGGAGCAGTAGGTGGAAACTGGGAAAGAGAATGGCCACAAGATCGAGAAAGACATCAAATTGCTGGAGGTACATTTTATCATAACCATTATTCATCCATTATGCCACAACATTTTATGCATTATGAAAGCATACATATTTGTTTCATTTATCCAGTTTTATTGCATACATTTCTGGTTTCAGGTGACATGGATGCATTACCAGTGCAGTCACAACATCCATATCGCCGTCATGAATCGCCATCAGTTTCAATAAAGCCTAAGACTTCTTTGGGTAATACAATAAGCAAAGAACAGAATCTGAAGAGGCCACTAAGAGATGAAATTAGCGAGCAAAACCCACGACCTGAAGATGCAAAGAAAAGATGCTCTGGACCAAGTGTTGAATTAAGAGATAGCTTAGTTGATGAAGATGATTTAAGCGAAATCAGTGATGATGCTGATGAGATACTGAATCGAGAAGATGTGAGTAAAATTAAAGGAAACATTTAATATATTGATATTATTATGATAGATTAGATCTTAGCACTAAAAGCATAAAATTTAAACTAATGAGGTTAACATGTTCTTTTTGTGATAATGTATTACAATTTAAGAGTAGAAATTATTTATATCTCCACCCACTTTCATATTTAGAACAAAATATATTAATTTCACATAGGTTGAGGAAGAGAGTTGGACGCCTCAAATGCCAGATCCGAATTCTCGTTCTCCAATTTTGAATGACATTAAAACAAATTTCCCTACACAAAATGGTTCAATAAATTTGAATTTAACTCAAGTTTTTCGTCCAGATTATGAACCAGTAAGATAACAGACAAAAATATAAACGGCGCATGTGAATGTTCTTTTTTTAAATGGATATATGTTAAATATATTTGTACTTTATCACAAATATCAGTTGGTTGCTTTAATATTTTAGCATGTAATGTATTTTACCATTATTTGCACTAATTTTCTTTATTTATATAAGAATTCAGATGTATTTATTTTTATTACAAGCAATGTGACATTTTTTATTATAATCGGTATGGTGAATGAAATTGTTTTAAATCTATTTTTTTTTTTTTAATGTTGAGTATGTCCTGATTAATAGAAAAAAGCATCTGATATATTTTTAATGCAATATTTACATGTGTAGTCTTTTTCTGTACTTTTAGAAATTGATTGAGATAATTAATATCCATTTTGGCAAATGGATGATAAAATTTTAAAGTTTACAACATTCAACAAGTTATTCATTTATTTTATTTATTTCTATCACAGCTACTTGAAGACTTGATATTGCATTATTAATTATATTATTACTTAATACTTGATATTGCATTATTAATTATATATTATATTATTATCAATATTATTTTGAGTAATTTATTAAGCCTTTAATTATTTTAAAACTTTATTGCCCTTTCTGATCCAATTATCAAATGTATATTGAAGCTTTGTGATTGATTGTATTAATTGTTTGTTTTCAATTTAAAAGTATCAATTATTACAATAGAATTTTTCATTCAGGAACTTCCTGATGCGTCTACGAAGAGTGAAGATCAAGATGATGTACGTTACTCACCTCAGCCACAAGAAACAGCAAGCAATAATAAAATCTCAATAAGTGTTACATCTCAAGCAGATCCTAGCACCAAAATAAAACAAGAACCTGTTTCTGTTACTCCTAAAATAAGTGAAACAATACCAAAATCTGCAACAATAAATGGTGTTGGTGCTGCAAAGGATGATTCTAAGAGTTCAATAAATGATGAATCAAAAACTTCGAATATTGCAAGTGATAGTCTGAAGATTTTGAATAGCAGCGACAGTGCATTAAAAGGTTTGAATGATAATGAAGCCAATTCTAAAGGAAACACTGTGGCTGCTCCTGAGGATGATGTCATGGACAGTCTAGATTTTGAAGAAATTTCTGATGAGGAGCTTGAAGAAGAAACAAAAGCTAAAGGTAAGAATTTCAGTTTTGTGTTAATAATAATTTAATTATTAATCCAATTATTCAATGCAGGTCTTAGTGATGTTTTGGGAGTAGACTGGGCGAGTCTTGTTCAGGAATCTAAGTCAAAATCAGTTTCTAATCAAAATAATTACAATGATCCCTCAAATCCTGATGGTGTGGGTGAAAATTCATCCAAACGTCTTTGGAGATACGAAGAAATTTTACTCAGAGTTGGAGTATCCATTGAAATGGCAGGACATGAATTTGCATCAAAAATACTTAAAGATATTGATACTTATCAAAATAGCTTGAAAAAGAGCAAAGATAATGTAGATAGCAATAATGAAGGAGATGTTGATGGAGTAAAAGTTGAAGAAAAGACAAAGTTGGAGCCTCCAAAAATACAAGCTTCGGTTATACTACATCCTATTGCATCCATGCAGGTTAGTATTTATTTTAAAAGTATTGTAAGAATGATATTATTTAGTAATAAAAATCCATGATAAAAGATCTATTATATGTTGATTGAATGTAAAGAGTAAATAATTATTCTCTATATAGATTTTTCAGTATATATAATTATTTGTACCAAACTAGAGTTCTTATTCTATTTATTTACAGGTGGCCAGCAGACAAAAAGCTAAAGCACGTGAAGAACTCTTTTCAATCAATCCTTCCATTCACTATTGTCGTGCTTTATCAGCAAGACGAGATTTAGCAATGAGAAGGCAATTATGTGATCTGCCACCATATCAGGATGAAACTCCTTCTCTGAAACCATGTCCTGATATGTTCCAGGCTACCCTCAAACTACTTGAGGAAAAAACATGATCCAAATAGGCAAGTTAAATAAATTGGAAAAAGAAAATAATTTTTGGACTTAATAGACTTTTTTTTATTATTATGATTACAAAAATATTAATATACTGGTATTAGTGTTACCAATATATTTTAATATTAAAAATTGAATTTTCTTTTATATTTCGATTTTACATGGAGCTGTGAAGTGAAATGTATAAACACTGAACTGATCTACAAAATGTATATAAATTATGAATATATAATAGTATGAGATTTATATAGATATAGAGGTAGATGTTTTATGTCGATCTAATCAATAAATTATGTGAGTAAGAAAATAAATTATGTATAAAATATTTAAGTGAATTTTTATTAAGTATTTGGCTTTTTTAGAGATTTAACAGAAGTTAGTCTAAATATTGTAAAAATCAAAAAATACTTTAGTGTCTTTGTGTAAGTTCTGAACTTAATCTGTGCAGTATAATTCATTTGTCCAGTGGAATTGTGTTAGGGTTACCGTATAAATATATGTACAAAAATAATCTACTCACAGCATTTTAATGCTTCAATAGATTTCTTTAAATTAAAAGAGATATACAGTTGTTTTAAATTAAGTTTATTTCTATAAATTCATTTTCGATTTTCAAGATTTTTTATTGTCTTGATTTTTTCTTGGTGATATTTTATAATATTATATTATTAAAATACATAAATTTATAATTAGGTTATCTATAATGTTACAATTTCAAAACAATGTACATGTGGTCAAAAAAGCAGGTGTGAATAACCTTTATCACTCTGAGGAAGATTTTTTATATTATTTTCCTAACATTTTATCTTATTAATTCATTTTAATAAAGTTTAGTAAAAATAATAAAAAAATATTTATAAAGTCTGAAAAAATTTTACTCAAAATAACTAAAAAAAATATTCATGAAAGGTAAGTTTTATAACATAACAGATTGATAAATGTTTTATATTTTGTAGTATGAATTGACTAAAACGAACAAAAAAGTTTATAAAAGAAAACCTTTATAAAACTAAAAATTTAGTTCAATATTTTATTTTAAAAGGCAGTATTTTGTACTACCTCTATTTCGTGAAAAACTTTACACACTTGAATTCAATTATTTGTATTACAGTATTTTTGAATAGTAAATTATTCCAAGTATAATAACATACAATAAGTATGTTAATTATACTTAAGTATAAGACATTAATATCTATTCAACATTAAACTAAAAATACAATTTAAATACAAATTGTGCAACTTTGTTCACATAACAGATTTGTTACAGCCTTGCTGCATCTACTAGTTGATTGATTGTAAAAAATTAATAAAATTATAGTAATTATTCACAGTTAATAAATAATAAATATAATAGATAATAAAATATTTTATTATCTAAATAATTATTTATTAATAGCCCATTATCATCTCATCTTCAAACATTTTATATCATATGATAATAATGGGCTTAGATAAGAGATTTGTTACATGTAGGAAAAGATCACACGTTATTATTATTTTTCACACTTATTAAACACAAATAAAACAACTGTTGAATAAGTTAATAGATAATCAACTGTTATGAACTTATAAGTGAAAATTTTTACTGGAATTTTTTACTCCAAACATTATGTCTTACACATCATACATGATGATATATAATTTTAATAAATAAAAAATCTGTTAGTACATCTTATGTACATATTATATAAAATTTTCAACAAAATGTACACAAAAATTATTGATTATATCTATTCATAAATATAAAAAGAGTGTTATATGTGTTATATAATGCTTCATTTCATTTTAAATTCAAATCAAAATAAAGTTTGAAAAACCGCATGAAGTTAGCGTTGCATTCAATTTGAAACGTCCAATTTGCAACAATATAAAAAATATATCAACAACCAAAAATTATAACACTTCTGTCATAAGAAATAAAAAAAACTTATTATTTGTGTCTCAAATAAATGTTATTGCAAAAAAAGAATTTAACAACAATATTAATAATTTTTTTAAGGACAAGTTTTGATCTAGATCTAAAAAAGGTTTGACAGGCCTGCCTAAAAATTAGGGGATAAGCATTATTATCCTTGACTTTAGATGACCTCAGATATTGTTTATTCCAATTTCATGAATATCACATGCCCGTAAGTCCAATTTAAACATGTATTGAAAAATTAAACTGTTGTCATTTAAGCTTCAAATTACACACTGACAACGGAGAAGTACAGTTTATTTCGCAATCGTTATGTTAACGTTTTCTCTTACATGTATGAAAGTTATTTAGTTATAATTAAAAATGGCTCTGCAAAGCTTGAAAGGTTTTTCTAAATTGTTAAACAAATGTTCGAATCGTGTTTCATATTTAACTGTAAGATGTGCATCTCAATATTATGACATAGATGATAACATATTTGGATTAAATGAGGATCAGGTTCAGGTAAATTTTTAATTAAAAGTACTATATTTACTAGATATAATTTATAAAGGTAATTTTTATCTGGTTATATTATTGTTTTAGTTGAGGAAGACCATTTTCGATTTTGCCCAGAAAGAATTAGCACCTAAAGCAGCTGAAATTGATAAAAATAATACCTTTAAGTAAGTTGTTTGGATATATCAATAGTAATTAATGGTAACATAATATTGTTATGGATTTATTTTATCAAACCATTTATAGAACCAAATTGATGTGTTTTTTAATAAATTAATTATCTTACATATGACTCGAACAGGTAAATATCATATTAATGTAATTCAGTTGTCTCACGAGTGACTTAAACTGATGAATATGCATTGCCAATAATGATGAACAATATTGCTAATGTAATTATAATTCAATATTTTACTCTTGATTTAATAATGTATTATTCTATTTAATTATTTCACATGGCTATCTATTAAAAGAAAGAGTTTGCACCTAAAGCAGCTAAAATTGATAAAGATAATACTTTTAAGTAAGTTCAATTGTATATATAAATAATTATTAATGGTAATATAATGTTGTTATGGATTTTTTATCAAACCAGTAACAAATGTATGCATGGGGACTGCACGAAAACTTTCTTTAGCAAATCTTTGAGAACCAATTTGATACATATTTTATAATTCTATTGCCTTACGTGTGACTCGAATAGGTAAATATCTATGACAACCACTCTGATATTTTATATGAAAACCCAGTTGTTTTATTGCTAAATTGTAATTGGTATTCAAAAGTGAATATTATTACCTAATAGTTAAATGCATTAAGTTTATATGAAGAGAGATTCTTCAGCAAATTCATAACAACCATTTGTTATATTTTTTTTAAAAAGTAATTTAAGTAAGTTATATCTGGATTATATCAATGTATCTATTAAATGAATTTTTGTTCTATTGCAGAATAGTACAAAAATCTTTTATAATACTCTAGATATTTAGCAAACACCCTTTTTATAACTGAGAATTATTGATATTGAATCTATTATATTGATATTAATATACACACACCTTTCTCTCTGATATGCCACTTAAAAAAAAAATCTTTCATCTTCAGTTCAATCATTTATATTCATTTATGTAATGGAAATATTATATTTCTGTTTTTATTTATCTATTTTAAAATTATCTTATTATTTTAGAGAACTGAGAGAGTTCTGGAGAAAATTAGGAGACTTGGGAACACTAGGAATAACTGCTCCAGCAGAATACGGTGGAACAGAAGGCACATATTTAGATCATGTTATTATCATGGAAGAATTATCAAGAGCTTCGGGAGCTATTGCCCTCTCATATGGAGCTCATTCTAATCTAGCAATAAATCAAATTCGAAGGAATGGAACTGATGAGCAAAAAGCAAAATATTTGCCTAAAGTAAGAAATTGAATTATCATAAAAATAGATCAGTCAAAGTATAATTTTAAATGTGACTTGGAATCATCTTCAATTTAATTTGAAGCAACATTTTTTAACCAAGTGTTTTAGTCCATTCTTTAATTTCTTCTTAATTCTTAATTTATTATTTTGTTTGATATTGGTTTATTTATTATTATATATTTTCATGATATTGATTTATTTATAACTATTTTATGATATTTTATGTACATTTACTTGGTTGTATAATCTTATTATATTTATTAAATAATTTTTCTAGCTTTGTTCTGGTGAACATATTGGAGCCCTAGCAATGTCTGAACCTGGTTCTGGATCAGATGTAGTATCTATGAAACTAAGAGCAGAGAGGAAAGGTGATTATTTTGTTTTCAATGGAAATAAATTTTGGATTACTAATGGCCCAGATGCTGATACTTTAGTGGTACAGTATATTTTTGTCATTAATGATAAAAATGTTACAATGTTAGATAATAACTGTCTAAAATCATCTGGATTGATTGCAATTTTTTCATTATTTATAAATTAATAGAAATAGTAATATGATAGATGTTATGATTTTTATATTAATATATATTATTTATTTAAAAATATTTTTTCTTACAATAAGGTTTATGCACGTACCAATCCAAATGTAAAGCCTCAACATGGAATTACTGCATTTATTGTAGAAAAAGGTTTTGAAGGATTTAGTACTGCACAAAAATTGGATAAACTTGGAATGAGAGGCTCAAATACTGCTGAACTTGTTTTCGAAGACTGTAAGGTATAAATTATATGTATTAGGATTAAATTTGTGTGATGTCTCTGATTTTATTCTGTTAAGCCATACCTATTTTTCTTATTATAAATTATATTATTCTAGGTTCCAGCAGCAAATATTTTAGGTGAAGAAGGCAAAGGAGTTTATGTTCTAATGTCTGGTTTAGACTATGAGAGATTAGTTCTTGCTGGTGGTCCTTTGGGGCTCATGCAAGCAGCTTGTGACATAGCCTTTGAATACGCCCATACTAGAAAACAATTCAATACTCGAATTGGTGAATTCCAATTAATGCAAGGCAAATTGGCTGATATGTACACTACTTTGAGTGCTTGCAGAAGTTACGTTTATTCTGTAGCAAGGGCATGTGATGCTGGAAAAGTTAATAGTAAAGACTGTGCTGGTGTTA